TCACCACCTTTGCCTCTGGGCGGTATGCCTACTATTTCTTCCTTAGGCTTGTGGAAGAGGGGTGCTGTGGAGTTGGCTTAGCATGACTAATGGGGGCTACGGGCAGGCACATGCTCTTCTGCTGCATTTATGTAGCACCTGGTGTTTACAAGCATCCTTCCTAATTCCCCCACTTAACTAGTCAGGCCGAACATCCCTACCATTAATGTCTTACAAAGGAGGGAATGGGAGGTGGGGAGCTGGAGGCAGCATCACAGTGACAGTTTGGGGGTCTGTCATTTCTTGGAGTCATTCCTAGAGTCTGATTTGTTTAGAGACCGGAATCACACCAGTGCCTGGAAGAATCTTTGGAAGGGGGTCTGCTGGCCCTTGAGACATGTCATGGTGTGGGGTTCCTCACAAGGTCCCCTTTGCCTCAGGCTGCAGTTGCTCAGGGACACAACAAACACCCCAAGGGCACCCAGGCCTGACTTTGTGTTAACACTCTCGTCCACAGCCCTCCCCCCATTAGAGGCTCCTTCCCCCCACCCTCCCCCATGCGGAGGGAGACATACTCCTAACTCTTCAAATCACAGGGCAGCGGATCCTGAAGATTGGGTGGCTGTGAATGGTACCCTTCAGGGTTGAAAGATCCATCCGCAGGCTCCTCCTGAATACAGAACCTTGACTTTCCCGCATGTGTTTCATGAAGCCTGTGCCTTTGACTCAGGTGTGTGAGGGCCCCATTGGGCAGGTCAGACACACCATTGCCTCTTGAAGGATTTGGGGGGAGAAGCAGGTGCTGCCACTTCTGTAGTGCCAGGCTTTTCCTGAGGGCTGTGCCAGACACTGGAACAGGGTCAAGGAGAGAGCAGCCCACAGCACCTTGTACATGAACGTGGCAGCCTGAGTGGCTGGAATCTGGTGATCTGAGCTGCCCACCTACTAGCTGTGTGAAGTTGCAGGCATCGCTCCCGCTGTCTGGACCTCTGAGCCCAACAACTGTGAACTGAGGATGATGCAACTTTCCCCCCCTGAAACACGAAGACTTTCTAGCTCGAAACGTGTGGTCCTGGGGCCCCAGGTCCCGCACTGGTAAGCCTCCCCTTGCTAGATTGCTTCTGTCTGTGGATAAATGTGTGCGTGTGGTTGGGGGTCAAAAACAGTCGAATGTTGGTGGTTTCATATGGTTTGACCTGCTGGATCCCCTGCCTCTCGCCTAGGGTTCAGGCCTGAGATGACGTCAAGCTGCAGTTACTGTGAGGAGCACAGTCCCACATCTCTCCCGTTGAACAGGTGGTTGTTATCTTAGGTAAGGAATTCAGATTAGTAAAAATCCACATGGGAAGGGGAAACCCACTTCTACTGCCGGGGAGTCCTCAGTCCTGGGCTTTTCCCCGGCCCGGCCGCCTGGGTGCTCACCACCTTAGGCATTGGCTTTGAAGGCAGGTGGTGGAAACTGGAGTCCTGGCTGATTAAGGCAATTAACGAGGCTGGGGGGGTCTACTTAGGCTGACCCAGCCCTGGGCTTCTGCTTGGCTGTGCAGACAACGTGAGCCTCTCACCCGCTTCTCAGACTGAGTATTTTCCATTTGTCCTGATGTGCTATTGACAGGCCCCACCCCCTGCTTCGTCCATTTCTGGTCTTGGGCCTGGAAGCACCTGGCCTCCTTAGGCTGCTGGGTGAGCCCGCCTGATCTGTTCTTCCGAAGGTTAGGCTGCTCCTTGGTCTGGAGCCAGTGAGACTGGTCCTTCCCGATTCTTTCTGGCTGTGATTCCCTGCATCCCCTGCCTTTGGCCTTGTTTTGGGTCTTTTGTTCCTGACTGCAGCTAGAAATAGAGAAGAGCCTCGGGGCCCAGATGGTTTCCAGAGCCGAGAGCTTTTCCACACCTCTCTTTGTTTCTCTTGGAAACAGACTTGCCTTTCCCCTGACCCAGCCTCCCTCCTGATGGGTCTGACCCACCCTCCCTACAAACACCCACAGCCCAGTCTTACTACACTGATTGGCAGGCATGGATCTGATAACTGGATAAATGTATCAGGACAGCACGTGGAGTACAGTTCCTGAGGTTCAGAGACAAGCCTTTGCTGTTGGGATGAGTGGGGTGGACATCCAGGAAACCTGAACCCAGAGGTCAGACTGGTTTAACCACAGCGGTCCTGGCGGATGCTGGCCCCTGTGGGTATGGCAGTCTTGCCGTACACTTCCTGAAGTCCAAGACCAAGTTTCAGAAGAAGTATGTTGCCCACGTTCCTAAAATCCTTCACCCCTTTGCACCTGCTTTGACAGATCCTGGCTTTATTTAAAGTTTGGATATTGTATTCATCATGGATTTTTCATTAATTTAAATTTTTAAATATATTGTATTGAAATGTGATTTATCTTGATAACTGAGTTTTTTGGATGCCCCTCGCCCCTGCCTTGAATTTTACATGGAAGGTGAGTGCCTCACTCACTTTATCCTCGCCTCAGCCCAGCCTGCCCCTCACCCTGATCTGTGAGCAAGCGCAGGCAGAATAGTGAGGTGGATTTAGGGTTTTTTTTCTTGTTGCCCTTCCCCTATGTCCTGAGTCAGGTGGTAGGTAGCTCTCTGAAAGTGTTTGCATTTAAATAGGAATGTGTTTACCCGACAATAGTGGGACACCTAGGACAGTTTTTGGCCTTGGACCTGTGACTGGAGTGACTTTTTCTTGGTGTCCTCTAGCTTTCTTTCTGCCTCTGAAACCCTGTAACCGCTTGGAGGGGTGTATGTGCTGTAAGGGAAAGGGAAGTGATTACAGTGGAGAGGATGCTTTAGAGTCTCATCTGAAACCTCCTTGGGACATCTCTGAATTTCCAGAGAAGCAAATAAATCATTCTGCCTCCCAGTTTCAGGAAGGACTGAAGAGGACGGAAGCATTCTGACTCCCCTGCATGCCCAGGGCGGCTTCGCTAGCGCTGTGCCTGGCCCTCAGTGACCTTCATAATACCGGTCACATCACCTCCATCTGTACCCTTTGTATCCTTTTCGCTATCATTATGATGCTCTGTCGTCTTTGTTTTACTTTCATCTTTTCTCTTTACCTCCAGTCCCAGAAGCCTCACTGGCTAGGGTTCTTTTCTTCATCACTCTCAGAATGGGGTGTGAGTTTATCCTGCCCTGGGAATGGGGGCTGACAATAAATTATATGAAAGCGTTCCATTTCTCCTATGGGGGAGGTGCCATCCTAGACATTTACATTCTTTTCTCATCTTTTTTTAGACTCTCCGTCATCCTAGGGGGTGGGGTGGAGGTGAGGGGTATTACCTTCATCTAAGGATGTGGAAACAGGCTCAGATGGTTACGTGACACGCCCAAGGTGATGCAGCTAGGAGGTGGCGATGCTGATCTGCTTAGCTCCAGAGCTGCCTCTCGTTTTCCTCTGAGTGTATTTTAGGCCACTGTTTAGAAGCTTTGGGATAAAATCAGCCTAGCTTTGGTCCACTGAGGCTTTGAAGTGGCTCTTTGTCCAAGGATGAGTTGTCCTACGGCTAACCCATCATCTGCCTTTGTGACTGGAGGCTCCCAGCGGGACTGGCAGCTGCCCCAGGGCTCAGCCAGCTGCCTCTCTGCCTGGCTGCTTCCTGTGCCACCATTTCCCCCATGATCGTTCAGGGACCTGTCCCACGTGAGAGCTGAACATGTCAATCCTGTAGCTCTTCCCAGGACCACCGAAGGCCTGTGGGTCTCTCCACTCTGTTTCCAGCCCACAGCTGCCCCATTACTGCTCTTTGCCGCAGCTTCAACCCATGTCCCTCCCAGTCTCAAGTTAGGAAGCCTTGACTGTAGCTTCTCTGTGGGAACTTGAAATTGGGCTTTTGTCTTTTTATTGTATCGAGCTGTATGCCCTTGGTATCCAGTTGTAGCAAAGAAGGGAGGTGATGATCTTGTCAGCTTTCTCCTCTAATCTTTCTCACTACCCACCCTAAACACACACACGCGCATGCACACGCACACTCGTGCTTATGCTCACAGACGCATGCACACACACTCACACAGATTTAGTCTGAGACTGTATCAGTACCTTCTAGAAGGTTAAGGAAAGGAGCCGGAGGTGGGTTTTACTTAATTCGCAGAAAAGATTTCTTTGGGATTTTCCTCCCCTTTAGAGTCTTTGAGTCTAGGTAAAGTGAAGTTCACACACATGCTGGTTTTGTTCCTCAGTAATTAGCCACGAGTTTCCCTCCCTAGGCCTTCCCTGCTCCCGTGTCTTGTCCACGTGTGCTGACCTCATGTCCTTGAATTCCCATTTTGCTTTGGGATTTAAGTTATTGTAATTTGTCAACAATATTTAAAAGTAGGAAAGTCCTGAAGGAAACTTACCAGGGTCTTTTCTTTGGCTTTTTTTTTTTTTCAAGGTACTGTAAATTGTTCACTAGGGACGCCAAGCAGGCTTGGTTCAATGGCTAAACCTCTTATCGTATTACAGTGTAATGCTGATCTCAGCCTGGTCTCACCACCAGAGCACACACAGACTTGAATAAAACTGTTGCAACAATGACTTCTGGTTTGCTGCGGTGCTTTGTAGACTTGTCCTTTCCCCTCTTTCCTTTGTAATTATACAAGATGTCAAGTAACAGTTTCTAGGGAGTTTACATGTGTAGGGATAAGATAACTGGAGAGAGAGATGGATACGATGCAGGAAAGAAGAGGTGGTGGGGAGCCTCTCTGGGGGTCCTAGAGCCTGGACCACAGGGGCCTTTGTGAAGCATAGCTCTGGCCGGCAGGAGGGTCAGTCTCTTCTCACAGCTGACTTTCCCTCAGGTCATGGATTTTGGCTTTCAGAGCGCCCAGCAGGTGTGTGCTGTCTCTCACTCCCTGTCCATATCCACCTTGACATTCCTGGTGAAGCTGTGAATGCGGCTAAGAGGACAAACACACGTGGAGTTGTACACTTGTGGACAAGATTTGCCAGCCATGAGCCCTGGGTTCCTCATGGTCTTGATACTCTAAATGGCGCTTGCCAGCTGTGTGACCGTGGGCCAGCCACTTAATCTCTCTGGGTCTCTTCTGGAGTGAGCTGATCACAAAGCAGCCTTTGTGCTCTCACTTTCCATGAGTGTGTTGGATGGGGATGACAGTGAAAGCGGACAGGGGAATCTTGTTTGGGGCCATTCTTTATTACTTTTGTCCACTATGTCATCAGTCAGCTGCATGTGGAAAAGTGGCTTCTGCAACTTCTGTATTGACCCCCTCAAGCTTTAATGCCGTGACCTTTCACTCCCTCCATTCCTCTTAGCCTCTCCCTCTGCAACCCAAGGAGAAGGAGGGGGAGGTTGCTGAATGCTTAGACAGTGAGGAGAGAGATGACTTTGTACTGAACTTCAGAGTAGGACTGACCAGGGCCACCTAACCTTTGTAAGGCTGACTGGGCAAAGATTGAAAAATCGGCCCAATTCCCTGCTGGAGAAGATGCCATGAGAGGCATATATATATATATATATAAATTGCTCCGTGTTTCTGCAAAGCAGTTTGGCCATATGGCATTAATTTTGTAACAAGGGCCCAGAAAGTTCATCCAGTAATAACTGGCTGTAACGTGTCAAGCCTCTCTCTGAGACTTGACCTGCATTATCTCATTGACAACATCTCAACATCCTTAAGAGTAGAGCCCATTCTCTCCATTTTACACCGAGAAGAGTGAAGATCAGAGTCAACTAACAGGAGCAAGGCCACAGAACTATCAAAGTGCAGCTGGGACTTCTCCGATTCCAGCATCTGCACTCACATCGTAAGAATGAGTCAGATGCAAAGACTTGTTTACCATTCACCCCGACACTATTTGCAGGAGGGTTCTCATGACTACAAATGATCCAAACAAGATTTTAGGGGGTCTACCTGTGAACGAAAAATCCTGCAAACCATATCAGTAAACAAAGAATGCTGAAGCCATCAAGTCATCAATGGCTGCCATCAGCCCCCCACCCCAGTGAAGACAAGCCTGCAGCCCAGTCTCTGCAGCCACTCACAATGGTGCACTCTGAGGGGGCTCAGAATAAGAAAGGACAGGATACTGGCCCAAGATAGCTAGGTGCTTGTCAAAGGAATGAATTCAGCGAGCCCAAATGTTTGCTTCTTCCCATGCACAGAAAAGCACTAAATTCTTCAACTTGAGATGTCTGGTTTTCTTTAGGTAACTAGTAATCTTTTAATGTTCCAACTACCTGGTCTTTGTTGTAAAGCTCCTATATATCCTAGCTCCTCCCCTACCTCTTCAGAGCAGTCCCTCAGAGGGATCTCTTAGAGGCTGTCATCCTGGGCTGAGTCCTCAGAATTGTCCACCAAATAAAACATAACTCTCAACTTGTAGGTTGTGCATTTGTTTCAGTCGACAACCTCTACCCTCCTCAGTCAACATGGAATCTGAGAACATGAGAGCATGAAGCCTCTCTTTACAGATTAGAAACAGTCTAAGTGCTTGGCAACAGGGAGTTGCTTAAACTTTGCATCTTTCTTTGCAAGGCATTTGTCTATTTAATTTAGCACCCCACCTTTTTTTCTAATGGAGGTACTGGGGATTGAACCCAGGACCTCATGCATGTTAAGCATGGACTCTACCTCTGAGCTATTACCACCCACCCACCCCACACACACATTTACCGAATTTCTTCTATGTGCCAGGTGCCAGCTGGACACGAGATTCACAGCTTGTTCAGGGAGAGCCCTATTCTCCAAGAGTTTATGGTCTGCTGGGAGAGATTGAGATATATAGAACTCTGTTTAATGTGGTCAGTGCTGTGATGGTGGATTGATGTTAGCCTGAGCTGGGGCTTCAGAGACTTCATGACTCAACATGTGAGTTGAGTCCTAGGGGATGGAGGAGCACAAAGGCTCAAAAGCATGAGATGCCTTCCTCTCACACCAAGCAGCACATGTCTGTCTCTTCCTTGTGTGAAAATGACCCCTGGTGCTGTTTCACTGTTGCTTCCTCTCTCTGGTTTTATCATACAACCATATGTGATGCTATGTAGTGATTAAAATTAGATCGTTCAAGAATAATTAAGGAAATAGGAAACTATTCAAAAGTTAAAAGGCGGGATACAAAAAATTTCAAGAATAACTTGATTCCAATTATATACAGAAAATATATTTCCTTTCCTTTCCATCTTTTTAAGAATTACACACCTGATAGGCATAAAAAAGATGGAAAGACAGTTACTGATTTCTTTATGGATAGGTATTCTGGATGATCTAAAAATGTTCTTTACTCTTTCAAGAATTTTTTTTTTAAACAATGAATATGTGTTACTTTTACAGTCAGCCAAACAATGGTGAATACAGTAGTTTGGGAGTTCTTTCTCATACCAGGTCTCTCTGCAGATGTTCCAGAGACCACTTGCTTCAAAGCTGCCCCCTTTGTCCCAAGCAGTACAACAAGGGGACTCCAGAAGCCCTGCCCTTGGAAGGTAGGTTGGGGGCCAGAGCCAGCTTCCTGGTCCTACTGGAATCTCTTCCTTACCCCTTTCCTCATCTCTTTCTCGCATTGAGACATGGTGTTGGAATGGTGAGCCCCCTGCACAATGCACGCAGAACCTGGTGAGGATACATGTACGTAGAAAATTCTAAGAGAAGAGGTACATGGAGGGCTCCTAGAGGGCAGAGCTGGTTGGGAATGTCAGGTCCTGGGCAGGCATGCAATGCACTACAACACATGCAAACACCCCTCCGTGTAAGAGGCTGGGCTGGGCCTAGGTTCACCACACCCTGTTCACTTGACTATGGAATGTGCTTCATTCGAGTCTGGGATGGATGTGCTAATCCTCTGAGCCCTCCCGTCCCCACCCGATCTGGTCCGACCAGCTCCAGTTGGAGAACTGTTTTGGCAGAGGGGGTGGGCGTCTGCTGCTGGGCCCTGCCCCTCCTCTCAGATGCTGGTCATACTGCAGCCACTCAATCAGGAGGGCCTCCTGTGCCATCTCAGTGGTGGACACTGGAGACCTCTTTGTGATAAGGGGGGAAAAGGAAAGGTTGGGAAGGGAGATCAGCCCTGGGAAATATGCTTGTGGAACACAGGTCTGATCACATTACACCCCAGTGTCTGCAGGAAAAGATCCAGATTCCTTAACATGGCCTTAAGGGCCCTTCGTGATTGGTCCCTAATCTATCTTCCCAATCTCTTACCACAATTTCCCTGCCCCTGTTGCTGCAAAACCAGCCTCTGTATCCACAAAAGCCAGATTGAGACTCGGAGGCAGAGTTTTGGGAGAATCAGAAAGGAATCACTTTATTCCTTTGCCAGGCAAAGGGGAGTCACAGCAGACTAGTGCCTTAGAGACTTTGAATCCATCTTGGGGTTGGGATGTTGAGATTTTATAGAAAAACTGGATGGAACAGAGAAGGCGATACAATCAGGGAGTTTTACAGGGTTCTGCGTTCCTCTTAACCTCAATGAATCTTCCTGGCATCCCGGAGGAACTCTGTATAGATCTGTCCATTCTTCTGAGATTTTTCAGCCCACGACCTCCTTCCTGGAGCACAGCCTCTGGGTTAAAGCTATTCTTGATATATAAGAATGTATAGGGAAGGGAGAGGGTAAAGGGGGAAAGTTTGGGGGCTGTTTAGCACAGAAAACAAGGGAGGAAAAGAGCGAGTTGCAGGATGTCTTAGTCAGAATGAATCAGAAACAGTTTTAACATCAGGGAGTTTGTTTGTTTCCTACCCTTCTCCCCCAGCCCTTCCCCACACCTAAGACTGTACCCTTCCCTGTTTCCTGTAAGGCTTGATCTTCCAGGAACAGAGCCCTCCTGCTTGAAGATGGTTATCTTCGTCGTGAGCAGATGCTCTGTTTCCTACCCAGGTGTCAAAGCTGTTACCTAGTTAAGCAGTTGACAAATTAAGTGGTCAAATTTGGGTTGGGGGTCGGGGGAAGGCAAGGGAGAATTGGACGAGAGAAAGAGGGAAAGAGGAGAAAGGAATACAGACCAGATTCTGCCCCTAGATGGTCACAGTCTCCTTGGTGAGACCAAATATGCCAGGATGCACTGATGGGGCTTACTGGATAGTGACTCCTGCAGACAAAGGCAGTCTGTCCTGAGGACCATGGCAAGCGACGGGAGGCCAGTTAAAGAAATGCTGACTCCCACCTTGTTCTGTGCTGTACCAACCTGAAAAGAGAAGAATTGTCCCTGTGATAAATACATACTGAGGACCTACTCTGGTCTGGGATGCTGGAGGACTGGCAAATTCCAGGCAGGTCAATGAGTGACGCATTTTTATGACAAAAAGATGCAGTAGTGGAGGGGCTCTGACAAATCCGAGCCACGGCCCATCTAAAAGCATCCGTTGAAAAAAAAAAACATGTAAATGTTAACACATCCCCTCTGTGTTTTAAACCCCTGAGAGTGCATGAGACAGAGTGGCTGCTCCCATTTTGGAGTTTACCATCTAGTGGGAAAATCAGGTGAGGCAACAGACAGTCAAGGCACTATGGGAATACGTATACTGTTTCTCTCTCTATGTATATATGGAGAGGAAGAGGGAGAAATGGAGTCACAGGGAGGG